ATCAGGTTGAGAGATTGTCGATCGAACCATTGGATCGATAGTATTCATAACCCAGCACAACATAAGGTGATTGTTAGCGAGCCAATCCTCATATAAGTCCGACCCGGGCTGAGGACGTGAAATAGAGCCATCGAGAAAACCGAATTTCTTTCGAGCGCCGAGGGCCGTGCGTAAGCTCCTAGCCCATTCCTCATAATTGGTGTCGCCTTTTAATTGGACATGAGTGATTAACAAGCCGGGATTATCGGGGGATGAAATATCAAACGGAGAGATGGATCATCGGGTAACAACCTCGCCTTCGTGAGGACCTGTACCAGCCATGAGAGAAAGAGTTTTTTTTTTTCGTGGAAGAATGGTCACGTCCCTGGTGGGATGAACAAAAAAAAAAATGTGTCCCTCTGTTGAGATTAGAGACAGCCCAAGAAAACTGATTTTTTTTTTTTTTTTTTGTCGTGAGAAGTTGAAGAGAAAAAAAGGGAAGACAGAGACGTCTGCAAGTACTAAGCCAAGAAATCTGATTGCTCACTTTTTTTTTTTGGAAGTAGCTCTCTCTGTTGATTGAGAAGAGCCGAGGAGACAAACGAAAAGAACAAGTCTCAGTTGATCGAGACTATGAATTCGAGAGAAAAAAAATTCTTAACCATGTTGTGATACCATGACAAAGAGATTTTGGGAGAACTAATCTGTTCGCCTTGATCAAAGAGAGGGGATATAAATCCCTACAAGATACAAGACCAAAAACGAAATTACCTAATTACAAGACTAATTACACTCTATCAAATATTCACAAAGATATTATAAGATATTATAAGATATGATAACATCTATTGAGGAAGGGCTTGTATTTATAGTTGTTTTGTTTAGGTTTGTTTCTAGGTGTATGCTTTGTTTGCTTTGTACGTTAGGTCTCGTGTTTTTAGTTTCGACCTTTGGCCTCTGTATGTGTCCGAGTGTGAGCGGGTATTATCCATGTGGGATCCTTTTTTCTCCTTTTTGGGAGCTTTTGTTGTGTTTTGCTATGTTGTGTAGTGAGTCTTGTGTTTTGGTTTCAAGCAGTGCTAGTGTCGGTTCTAGGCAGTCTTCAGTTCCGTCCTCCCAATTTTTCAGCTGTTAGTTATTTCATTCAGCTAGGGGCTGGATCTTTGCACATTTTGCATTTTTATCTCTAAATTTCTCTATTGTTCTGAAAAAAAAAAATGATTGGGGCACTACAGAGCTACACCGTCGGCATAGATCCATCGACGGGAGAATACTCTCATTAGACAAAAATAGGAAAACCGTCGGCATACATGGGAGAACACTCCAATATATCAATGGTTCACACACATACATTGATTATAGAATATAACGATTATAAGGAATAAAGCATAGTAATTTAGGGACACCCACCTCAATTCGAAAAAATGATACGGAATTGCTGCTGTAGGTCCGAGGGCTCGACTCCTTAGAAATTTACAATTAAGCAGGATAATTTTTATAAATAAAATTATTTCATTTTTCTCGAAAAAATATTGAAATTTCACACTAAATTAAAAATTAATGATTAAAGAGTTTCTAATAATTTATGGAAAATCGAAACTCCCATTTAAGGGTGAAAAACTCAGAAATGGGTCAAAACGGCTAACAATTGGGTTTGGCATGGAAATCGGTCCAACTGTCCGAAAAACGGCTCGATAGCTTGAGAAGGGGTTCACAATCCACGAAATTGGGTGTCGGCTCGGCCAGACCTCGCTGGCTGGGGGCGGCGTGCTGCTTGGTAGCGTCTGGTCGTTGGCTGTGCGCTGCTGGGCACTAGCGGGTGCTGCTGGGTGTTGGCGTGCGGCTGCGAGGTGTGGGAATTTGAAAACAAAAAATTCGCCGCCTTTTACTATTTACAACTGCTTGGATAATTTTTTTTAATAAGGTGTGAAAAAAATTCACCTTATCAATTAATTTAAATGAATCGATATATTAAAATTTATCCCAAGTGGTGTTTATTTTAGGATACATGTGAGTATACGGACATGGCCAACGACCTGGCCTCCCCGACAACCATGCTAAGCCCGTTGACCATGGGTCAAACGACCGCCCCAAAATCGGGCCGTATATAATACATTTCGATCCTCGGTTCTCGGCCTGGCACCATAATTTTTAATTCCAGATTTGAAATTCAAAATTTCAGAATCGAAACCGGAATAGGCGGGTCGACTGAACCACACCAATTGATTTTTCAAATTGACATTGGATCTTGTGACCGTTGAAGATCAAGCAGTCAAGATCTGCGTGACTAAAGGGGTCGTCGAAATATTTTTATTTCATCTTATGTTATTTTATGTATTTATTTTTTTTAAAATTTTTGCCTATAAATACTCTCATTTACCTCATCATTTTTTACACATAATTCTCTTCATCTTCTCAATTATCTTATTCTCTTTTCTCTCATTCCCTCCCTCAAGTTTTGGTTATATACTATTATTAAATTATTAAAACTTAAGCACCTTTGAAGCTCAATTTGGTAAATTATGTTACAAACATGTCGATTTCTCGTGGTGGTCGTGGAAGAAATCTTACAGGTAATCCATCGAGTGCCGGTGAACGACCACCAAAGCGAAAAAGTGTAACATCAACGTGTGGTAGGACACATGTGTTGGTATCATTGTTCAACAAAGGCCATATCCCCGATGAACTTGGTGCTGAGGAAATCAATGAAATGTTTTGATCTATACAAGATGATGCCCCTGAGGATGAGGATACTGCTACTCAAGCTCCAACTTCAGCGACCACAGATCGCGCCGAGCTTTGGCATCTCATATCTTCATAATCCAGTATATAGGAGCCCCATTTGGATTCGAAAAAGGGTCGAGGCATTTGTCTACATTTAAAACTTCCAATCTTGGGTTAAGTCGTTCAATGTATACGAAGATGGCAATACCTCAACGGGTGGGAGTGCGAGAAGGACGGGGATTGAATATGATGAACTTGATCATAACTTGGAGAACTCAAACTGTCTAAAGCACCTCACCCCTCAACTCCAATTCAATGTTTTGAGTTAGTGCTACAAAATGAAGGCCTTGTATGGTATTTCAAGCTTGATTGCCAAGGAAGTCTTTATTATCCTAGCCTCAACTACGGTGGTTGAACAAACATTTAGCGAGGGCATATACACTCTTGACGAACGACAATTGGGATTAAAATTATAAAAGCACAAATGTTGCTGAGAGACTGAAAGAAGCTCGAAAGAGGAGCACGAACAATCATGAGAATTGAAGAGGATGATGACGAGACTGATGAGTTTAGTGCTACAACTGGAACCGGCGGAACCGATTAAGACGGAAACGACTTGGAGTAAAATGTTGAACACATCATGCCATCATTTTTTATCAAGGTAAGCAAACTCAAATACCTTGATTCTCAAGGTAAGAGATATTTAAACAACTTAATTGACATATTACAAGTTAAAAATACTATTTTTTAACTTATAATGTTTCAACTAAGCCCAATTATTACCTTTATTTTCTCAAATTCATAGCTATTCTATTTCTTTTTAAAAAAGTAAAATTTATCGGCGGGTTGTGAGCCCAGCATGTAACCGGGACCACCAGTTTTTTGGACCGCCCATTGCTTCTGCCAGGTTGGTTTTGGGTCCCTACATATAGGCCCGCCGACCTGCTGGATTGGGTCCGGTACCGACGACCCAGGCTCTTTGGCCATGCCTAAATACACCATTAGTATCAATAATTATAGATGACTTCATAAGATGACAAAACTTGATGATAGTTATAAATACAGTGCAGTCTACGAAAGAATTTGCAAAAGTGTGAAGAGTATTTACCAATTCTAATATTGTAATTTGATCTTCCCCCAACTTAAAGGTTAAAACTTGAATTGTCTTTATAGTAATTGCAGAAATCCCAGACTCACTGGATATTTAGATGTTCTTAATTACTGTTAAAAGAACTCATGGATATATTCAGTTTGCCATTCATTTCTCTTCAAATGGGTGGAGACAACATACTCCCAGAAACAATAAAATAGAATAAATCCGAACCTGGACACTTTTTCTTCAGTTGCTGAGCATCCAAACTTTCAACTTCTCCTCTCCTTTAAAATCATTCTCTAATCCCCCTCTTATATTCATGGGCCTCAACAGGAGCAAAACAGTAAGACTCATTTCCTTCTCCGCATCAATGCCTCGCAGACCCTAATCGCATCCCTATTATCCCTCACATTGTGCACCCTCACAATATTCGCACCCCCAAATCCCCAGCCGCCGCACAAGCCACGGTGGCAGCATCCCGTTGTGCCGCGTTTGGCTGGCTGCAAATCTCACCCAAGAACCTCTTCCTCGAAACCCCTATCAACAAGGGCACACGTGACACGACCAACCTCCTTCTCCCAATCACACCCCTGATATCCTTCAACCCATTAATTATATCCAAATTCTGCTCCGTATTTTTTGAGAATCCGACCCCAGGGTCCACAATCATCCTCCAGACAGGCAGACCAGATAACTCCGCCTCCCCAACACGCGCGCACAGTTTGCATGCCACGTCAGCGCACAAATCACCATAGGTCAGGTTCTCGCTGTTCTGCATTGTGGATGGCTCCTCTCGCATGTGCATGGCGACATACGAAATTTTGAGTCCGACCACAACTTTATGCATGTCGGGGTCTTATCACCCGATCGAGACGTCGTTCATGATATCAACGCCGTGTTTGGCTGCTTCCAAGGCGACTTCCGAGTAAAAAGTGTCGACTGATATCAGCTTTCCCTCGATTTCAGGCAAATTCCTTATGGCATCCAGAACCGGGATCAGACGACTCAGTTCCTGCTCGGGAGATAGCTTTTCCACCATGGGCCGCGTGGATTGCGCGCCTATATCGATTATATCTGCACCGTCAGCCAACATCGACCGAGCTCGATCGACGGCCGATGTGACGTCAAGGAATTTGCCCCTGTCACTAAAGCTGTCGGGGGTCACATTGAGAACACCCATGACCCATGTTTTTCCAGACCAATCTCATAATCCACCCGAGACTGGCAAAACCCTCCTCATGCCACCTGGGCCCACGTTGGACTCCCCGCCCGATTTCTCCCACGCATCGAAAACCCCGCCTAAAAAACCCGACGTGTCGTTCCAAAATCCGATCACGTCATTCTCCATGTCGTGGCCCAATACATCGGTCAAGGGGCCCAGCACGAAAGGCCTCTCCCACATTCTCTTGTGTGGGATCCTGAGAGTGTCTGTGTCGACAGTTTGGTCCCCGTAGAAAAGGATGTCCAAGTCGATTGGGCGTGGACGTACCTGATGTCGGCCGTCCGACCCATGTCTCGTTCGATCTCTTTGACGGTTTCTAAGAGCTTTTGTGGGTTGAGCTTTGTGTTGGCCCGAATAGCAGAGTTGAGGAAAAGGGGTTGGTCGATTACGTAGGCGGGCTCCGTCTCATATAAACAACTGTGTTAAGTTATTTTGATGCCGGATTTTCTCATGCGCTCTAAGGCGTGTTCGAAGTTTCGAATCCGGTTGCCGACATTGCTTCCCAGGGCAATTACGACTTCTTCCTCTTTGGAGTTGACTTCGACCGTGCTTTCATGAATCGAACGAGAAATACAGAAGCTTGCGCCTGTGGAAGGAATATAAACATGATAGAAATTACTGTTTTTGGTCTGCAACACAAATCCCACTCTCCCTGGTTTTAGAACATGAATATTGCAAACTAGAAGAAGCATAAGTGGAACGATTTTAAAGACACTAAAACATCAATCCCTTTTATTGCAAGTGAGCACGAAAGAATACAATCAAATTTATCTTGCAGGGTGAGTTTTACAAAATTGAGACCAGAGTAAATTTAAACTTCTGAAGAACAATAAAGAAAAGGAAATGCTACAGTCCAGCTACGGAACCATTATGTCGAAGTTTGTAACAGGACCGTAGCATTTCCCTAAAAAAAAGCTGATTCTTGTTTTCTGCTTCAGGCTTATACATTAGTAAGTAATATCCTTGAGCTTGAAAACTTGTACAGATTCATTAACATAAGATTATGCAAAACACAGAAATTAGCTTCACATGAAATCTTACCTGCCCTTGCCCCATGCTTAATGGGCACCAGCTGTTTGACGAAATTCATCCAAGATTGGGTTTGCAAAAACTGAGCTCCATAACTATACAGAAATAGAAGAGGACTGCCGATAACAGTGCCATTAAAAAAGAACAACTCCTCCAGTAACTCTGCAGCAAAAGGAAGAAGGAGATGATGGAAAGGTATACAGCGGAGAGACTGTAGAGAAGTGAACAGAGGCAAGCCAAGCGCCTGCTGCAATTCGGATAGGGGTGTTCACGGTCCGATTTAACATAAAAAAAAAAACTGTAAATCAGGACCACGGATTGGTTAAATGGTCGGTTAAAAAAGCCTTAAAAAATTTGGTGGTTAATTTTTTTAAAAATTCAAAATAACCAGTCAGGTTAACAGATTACATATGGCAAACCGCCAGTTTAACCAGGCGGACCAGTAAATATTAAAAAACTACAACAAATATATATATATATATATATATATATATATATATATATATATATATATATCTATACTTATATTAAAAGTCAACCTATTTACCAAAAATAGTAGTAAGAAAAGTCAACTCACATTTAATGCATACTTTATTTAGAAATTTATTATTATATGCATTAATTGCTTGATATATACATTTACTATTCAAATATGATCAAAAAGATTTTTTTTTCCTTAAATAATTTTATTAACTTCTGCAATGATTTTACTGATATATATTATAATTCATATTTGTCGATAGTATTTTTTAATTTTTATTTGAGTATATAAAAAACAAATATTTTTTAAATTAATATTTTATTTATCATTTAAGAGATAATGACACATCATTAAATGATTTTACTGATGACTAGATAATAAATTAAAATACATTAATTATTCTTTAAAATTTTGGCATGTTATTTATTTGTTTATCTATACTTATTATATAAGGTATCCTGTTTATCAAATTTAGTAGATTGAAAAGTCAACATAATTAATGCATTGTTATTTCTATCCAAAATTTTATTTAATTATTTTATTTATTTGTCTTATATCCCATAAAATCAGTTTAAGAAAAAAAAATCCCATAACATCTGACAAGTTAAAAAAAAGACGTAAAATCTTTACTAAAATAAAAAGACTTTATTTATTTGTCTTATTCCATATTAACATCGATTTTGTCAAAACAAATCCCATAAAATCAGTGAAGTCAAAATTTGTACGTAAAGTCTATCTATACTAAAAAAATCAGATTCAAAATTATTTATCTAATTCTTTTTTTTTTCTTATCTAATTTCTTTTTATTATCTAATTGTATGAAAAATATGTTCTGATTTTGTTCAATACTCTAATTGTATTTGTATTATATTTCATAAATCGGTTTAACAAAAAAAATCCCACAACATTCGATAAGTAAAAAAAAATAAAGTACGTAAAATATTTACTAAAATAAAAAAGGCTTTATTTATTATCTAATTGTATGAAAATATGTTCTGATTTTATGGTACGTACTACAAATTGTGCACCCGTGTTCAGGAGTTATTTAACGGGCAAGCTTTGTGGAAATAACTCATTTAGTGTTTCTGTCCCGTGCATACGGTATGTATTTTTGTTACACATACTAGAAAATTGTGCACCTCGTGCATCACACGGGCTCTGTACTAATAAATGAACTTAAAATTGTGCACCCCGTGCATCACCCTTATTCACATTTTGGTCTATTACAGATCAAGTACTATATATATCCCGTACATTTTCTTTATTCATTTGTATAATTATAAGACTGGATAAATGGCCTTAAAATTGTGCACCAAGTGCATCGCACGGGCTCTGTACTAGTACTTCTATTATTTAGGAAACTACTATGAGTCTTGTGCAGTGCACGGGTAATATACATTTCTTAATATTATTAATTAAATCTATATCTATATATATATATTAAAAGCTAACCTATTTACCAAAAACAGTAGCAAGAAAAGTCAACACGCATTTAATGCATACTTTAATTGGAATTTTTTTACTATATTTATTAAATGTTTGCATATTTACATTTACTATCCAAATACGATCTTTAAGATTTTTTCCTTAAATAATTTATGCAATGATTTTACTGATATCCATTATAATTAATATTTATCGAGTAATATTTTTTAACCTTTATTTAATTATATAACACTAATATTTTAAAAAAAATTAATATTATTTATTATTTAAAAGATAATGATGACATCCATTAAATGATTTTATTAATGTTTAGATAATAAATGTATAGTTATTTTTTAAAATTTTGACATGTTATTTATTTTTATATTATTGTCAACTATGATAGTGTTTTTATCACTTTTTTTTGTTATGTTTCAAAAATGAACTTATTGTAAAATATTTTTCTATTGCATAGTAAGTTAAATAAACTATAAAGTCTTAGGATGAAAATTAAAAGAAATCTCTTGAGTATTAAGGGATTTATTTTTTGGCAATTGCTAAATCATTTAAGAAAAAAAAATTATTATGAGAAAATTGAATTCTAAAAAACATGTGTGCGTATTTTATAAACATTTATACTCAAAATTTTATTTTGAATTTCATTACATAAAGAAGACTACTTCTATAACTTTTATAAATAATAATAATTACATTATATGACTGTAAATTTTTATAATAAAAAATAATTGAGTATTATATGGTGAACAATAATTAATGAAATTTTTATTTTTCCCTATATCAATGAATAAATATGTATTCTAAAATCAAATAAATATTAGTATGACGTGTTAGCGGAATTATATATTAATAACATGTTAATTTTTTGGCTTAAATAAACGCCACTTTTAAAAGATGTGAAATATGGATGATCCGGGCCTATTGTTTTTTTGTCTAGACGTACAAGTTCTATAGAAATAATTGATTTATTATATGCATCATGTGCATCTCACGGGGTATGCACTAATAAATGACCTTAAAATTGTGCACCCCGTGCATCACCCGTGTTCACATTTTGGCCTATTACAGGTCACGTATTATAAGAATGGATAAATGGCCTTAAAATTGTGCACCCCGTGCATCGCACGGGCTCTGTACTAGTATATATATATATATAGGGTTGGGTTCACATGAGAATGGTTCTCAACGAAAGAAATGAGAATAAATCATAACCATTAGAACAAATGATCTAATGACTACAAAAAAGTCAAAATTATACATTATATTAAGTGGGACACACCATATATTAATACACCTCAATATTAATAGTGGGACATTCAAAAAAAGTGGGACACACCATCCCTCCTATATATAATTACCGAATGCGCTGAGCATACGTGGCTGCTTATGGTGCTTCGGAATCCTATTTGGCAAAGAATCATGCTTCGTAATTAGGTTTGGACAAATAATATTGATATATTAATAATTAATAATCTAGGTTCGGACATTCTATAAATATTATTCAGCTAACTTAGGTGTTTTAATATCACTTGTACTAATATAACCCTTTAATTCTTTGTAATTTTACATAGTGAGACAGTAAGTGACTAATATATCCCTGACTTTTGATTTGTTTCCTTCAATTAGCTACTGAATTGTAAATGTATTTTAAAAGTTGATAACTTTTGTATTCCTTATCGGTTTTACATATATAATATATCAAATTAATCATCTTTTAATGATCTTCGTTTTGACATCCATATTGTATTATGAAATAAATAAATTATATTTATCTTTATAATAAAATAATACGTATTAAAATTCATTAGAAAAATAAAATTATTTTTTAATTGATATATTTATGTTTAATGGAGTTATATGTTGTAAGTTAAAAGACTTATTATAATATAACACATATAGGTCACACAAATAAAAAGTGTCATACTAAATATATAATAATATATATATTTTTATAAAAGGTATTTAAAATATTAACTATTTTTTCTCATTAATTTTAGATTTAAGAAAAAATTAGCAAGCACCCGTGTAATACACGGGTGTTGTACTAGTATATTAATACACCTCAATATTAATAGTTCAAGATACGGTACCTACCCACACCACACCTACCCTTCACATTCATTCTCTCTCTCTCTCTCTCTCTCTCTCTCTCTCTCTCTCTCTCTCTCACACACACACACACACACACACATACACACACACACACACACACACACACACACAACATCACTCTCCCCGTCATCCCCCCATAACACACACATTTACACACAGTACATATAAAATACACAGCGCCCCCATTCTCGTCTACGACCTTCCTCTGGCGAACAACCCATCGCCGCCGCTCAGCCACCACACACCGACGATAATCCGACGCACACATATACACACAGTTACATACACAAAATCACAGTTTTCCCAGCATTCTCGTCACCGACCTCCCACCGGCGAACCACCAATCGTCGTCGCACAGCCACCAGACGCCGGCCTTCCTTGGACGCACAACCATACATACTCACTCGCAACATACACACACGAACACAGAGAGTACCATCGTCTCCCACCGGCCCCATCGATCACCGCCATCAGCGCTTGCCGCAGATCTACCGTCTGTTATGCCTTTATCGCGATGATCAAGGCTTCATCGCGATGGTATCGTCGTAATCCACTCCTCACACACTCAGTCCGGCAGTCCCATTACTCAACCTCCGCCGCCGACGCATCGACCTCTGCTGCCGACGCTCGAACTCCGCCGCCGACGCTCGACATCCGCCGATGCTCGACATCTTGCAGGTCGAACCAAGCCGATGCGAGAGGTCACACACGGACAGTTGAAACTCTGAAAGTGAATGTTTGATTGGGCATACTGTTGAGAATTAGAATATGTTTAGGGGCTTCTTTGCAATTTTTATAACTTTTAACTATATACTAATTTAACCCCTGGGTCGAATCTATAATTATTAAAAGTTCATAAAAAATCAGTTTTTATATTTATATTGTCATTCATATATATTAAACACCAAATAAAATATTAAATAAAAACAATATAAATATTAAAATAGTATAAAAATAATGTATATTAATAAATAAATTATATAACAAAATAATAATTAAAAAAGATTTTAATTAATTAGGTTAATTGGATGTGCTATTATATGTATTAAAACTATTTTTTTCGAATACACATAATTTATATGATAACGTGTAAGTCAGTTCACTTTATATAACAAAATGATGCACTTTATAAAATAACACATTGCACTCTATAAAACAACGATGCACTTTATCATCATATTCAACAATTAATGTCAACAACTTCCTCAAAAATATTACCCAATATAATTTAAAAAAAAAATATCTACGTAATACTTTAATATTAATCACATAATCTATCCAAAAAAAAAAAAAAACCATAAGCATGATGACATACCAATATTACAGTAGTTCACTTTATACATCATCATGTTGCACTCTATAAATCAACATGTTGCACTTTACACATCATCATCACGTTGCACTTTATAAAAAAATACGTTGCACTTTACAACATAACATGCTGCACTTTATCGTGATTATCGGATTGCATACTATAGACCGAAACCGATCGAATTCACTTCTTTTCAACCACATATAATATAAAAATAATAAATAACCTCATTAACATATTAAATATAATTTAAATATAAATATCAGATTGTTTTGATTATTTAGGATAACTCGGTTAACCGAAACGAATAAATAATTTATTTTCAAATTAATTTGTGACAAAACTCCAGTTGGTTCAATATGTACAAAACAGATCATTACCGTGCACCGTACTGTTCGTCGAGTTGTACATTAATAATTGTTAGACTGCACATTATAATTCGTTTACATACATAATAATATTTTTAATAGATGAATAATATAAAATATAGAATAAAAATATTAAAAAACTAATCATAATTTTTATAATAAATAATATAACTTATGTTGGTTATTTATGTTAGCCGCCAATTAGACCGATTATCTTGATTTTTTCACTTCAAATTTTTATATTTCATTTTGATTTTTTTATTTTAAAGCACATAACTATACAAAATAATGTGAACTTATATGAAAATTATTATTATTATAATTATATATATATATTTTTATGTATGACGATTGCACTTTAGGGTTATACAAGTTGCACATTAGAGACCATTAGATTGCACAATATCGAACGACCTTGACCAAACTAAAAATTTCAATTCAATTACAAATTTATATTTCTATGTGCATTTGATATATTTTTTAAAGTGCATTTAATTTTACACTTTATATATCATTGTGCATTTAATATAATTTTCATTAATTATAGATTTGACCCATGTACAATTGAAATTTAATAAAAATTTAGAATTGCAATTAAGTCCCTTAAACTTCTCAAATTCCCAATTGTTTGCCCCACAATTCTTGAAACAATTTCTGTACAAGATTCATCAAAATTCATTCAATGGCAGTTTATGTACAAGCTTCATCAAAATTCAAGCTTCATCAAAATTCATTCAACGGTAGTCACTGGTCAATGCATATATTTGACCATAAGTGTGTGTGTGTGTGTGTGTGTGTGTGTGTGCGGCGGTGTGTGCGTGAGTGCAGTATTTGTTGCCGGACATAAGTGTGTGTGTGTGTGTGTGTGTGCGGCGGTGTGTGCGTGAGTGCAGCTTGTGTGTAGGTATTAGTGCGTGAGGGAGATGGGTGGGGGTGGGTTGGAGTAGGGTCCACCAGATAAGTAATTAATTGTTTCAATGACTATTATATCCTTAATGAGTGGTCAATGCATATATTTGACCATTATATTAAACTATTTACAATAAATGCCATTATATATTTGACTGATTTATTAAAGTTTGACTTGATCATGACCACTTATTTGCTAGATCTAAAGGCATACATTCATTCTTATTTCTTTCACTAGAAATCATTCTCATATGATCCCTTCTCTCTCTCTCTCTCTATATATATATATATATATATACATTCAATCATTCTATGACTGACAAATACAATACATTGATGTGACTGAGAAATGAATGCTTTGCTCTTATTAGTTCAGATGTATAAACTGACTGAAAAATGATTGCTTGCTTGAGTTTAGTTTGCATAATTTAATCTTTATCATTTTTGTATTTTTATGTTTATGGGACGAAATATGTATTTTTATGCTTATGAGACGAATTGTGTTTTATTTTATTATTGCTGTTTTTCTTAATTTTTAGGTCCAAATAATCTCTTGTGTCCAAAATTGAAAAAAAAAATGAATAAAATAAAATTGAAGGCCCAAAATAAAGATTTTGGATTTATCCGGTTAACCGCCAAATCGTACTGTCCAATGCGGTCCGGATTGTGGCGGTTAAAAAATAAAATCGGTCCGATTATGGACAAGAAAAAAAATTAACCGTTAGGTCCGGTTTGGTCATAGTTTGGTTTAAAACCGGACCAATCCAGACCGTGAACATCCCTAAATTCGGATACCTACTACATAAGGGCAATTTTGTGAAAAAAGTAGGGATGAAAACGATCGGAAACGATCGGCATAGGGCTCAACCATTTCCACTTTCATATTTTTTTCTTGAAAACGAAAATGATACGGTAATGTCGGAAACGAAAACGACATCGGTATTCCGGTAATATCGAAAATGAAACTATCCGATCGAAAATACATCGATAACGATCGAAATATATTAAAACGGTATTTAAAAAATGATAAACACACCACATTATAAAATATAGCATTAAAACATTAATTGAAATATTCTCATGGCATAATAGTAGCAAAATTCAAATTAAAATCCACACCATCTGCTATAAAAAAATCCATACAAATTCCAATAACTAGTAATTGAATTGTGACTTGTCCACCAAAGTGGGGTAGGTGGCGGCAGTTGGAGCCTGTAGTGGCTGGTGCGGTTGCGATGTTGATGGGAGTGGGGCGCGGCAGCAACGAGCAGGTGACGGGAGTGATGACGAGCAGGCGTGGCGAATTGCGATGGCCGTCGGCCGGTGGAAGAGATGACAGGCTCCCAGACGAGACTCGAGAGTGAAGACCGAACGGGATGAAGGGGATTTGGGCACTGTAGATGCGGTTGCGACGGTGATGGGAGTGGGGCGCGGCGACGATGAGCAAGTGACGGGAGTGGCGACGAGCAGACGACGAGCAGATGGGAGAGATGACAGACTCCCAGACGAGACTCGAGAGTGAAGATCGAAAGGGATGAAGGGGATTTCAGGATTTGGGCACTGTAGAAGGGTTGGGCTGAAGGGGATTTGGACATTTGGCCCATTTGGAATTTGGATTGGGCTTTATAATTAAAAGTGACCCTAGTATGGGTTGGGTCGATATTACCGACGGTAAAATACCGTTTAAATACGGTAATTTTCGAAAACGATCGGAAAAGGGCTAAACCGTTTTCGTTTTCATTTTCGAATTTTTTTACCGTTTTCATTTCCGTTTTTCCGGTTACCGTTTCCGTTTCCATTTAGCCTCCAAATCCGAAAAAATTTTGAAAACAATTTCCGGTAATCGGAAATTACCGTTTCCGTTTTCATCCCTGGAAAAAAGGATGAAGAGGGGTATAAAAGTCACTTGTATTGTCCTTTTATCTAAAAATATTAAAACCCTTATGGAGGAAAATCAAAATTATGAATTATCCACTACTTCAAGCATTTTGGTCTGCCACCTAAAACCCCAGTGCTGAAATTTCCTGAGTTTTTGTGAGAAAATCTCAATCCATGGTCTCCTTGTCTTCTACACAGTTTTCTTTGGTGCCCAGGTTCATTTTCTTCTTTGGTTTTACCATTCTTGATTATTTTTTATGCCGAGATATCAGTTTGTTTTTATAGCTTTGATTAATTTAAAAGTTTGCATTGTTCTTGCTGAAGAGGTTAAATTTGAGCATGTAAATAGAAAATGAATGCTCTTTCAATTAAAGTCTGATTTGTAATGAATTTCAGGAATGTTTGCAATCTCTAAAAAGGAGAAGAAAAGTGATTCACATTTCTCAGATTTTACTGATTTTATCCGGTAGAAGCTTAAATCTTTTTTTTTTTTTTTTTTTTTTTTTTTTTTTTTTTACTTCTAGAGATTAAAAAGGCAAAGACACAATATAGACCTGAGCTGAAAAAGATTGAATATGAAGGTCATATCAAATCGACAACTGGCATTATAAAGCGTGACTCGAAAAATATGCTATTCTGTGTGTTTGTGTATTGGTTCAAGACTAAATGTGTAGCAAGTTTTGAGAGTTTTGTTACTGTTTGTTTGGGCAGAGTATGCAGGTGGGACTTAAATGTTAGTTCCTTCCCATGTATGCACTTAGTGAAAATTCAGGAGTATAGAGTAAATAAAAAGGGACTGTTATCTGTCTCAAGAAACAAAGTTGTTGGTTCAATACCTCAGGAGATATCAGATGGAGAAGCTGGAGTTGTAGGGGAAAAGACTCGTAAAACGAGAAAACGGGCTTCTGCAAGAACCAGGAAAAAAGTAGTGGAGAGTACGGATGAGAATCCTTTAGACAATGTCAATGTTATACGCGAGGAAAGTGTAATTGCTTCAGCTTCAACAGAGATTTCAAGGAAGTCGAGCGCTAGAACTCAGAAAAAAGGTTAAGCCTTTATTAAATGAGTGAAAGTATTGAGAAATTTGCATGAAATTCTTGATTGCTTTGCACCATGTGAAGTTTAGTGTTTAAGTGAGTTGGGCATAAATATGTTTTTTTGTGTAATCATTTGCCAACTTCTGTTTCTGATTTTTCTTTCTTTAACTAAAATCTAACAGGAAGGATGTCTTGGGAAATGGTTGCTCAACCTTTCCGTTTCTCGATTATAATTTTGCAAACAGAATTGTGTGAAACTAACAATTAAAAACTGGATTTTAAAATTGTAATTGAGTATTTGATGAAAATGCACAATTGAGATGGTAACTTCTCTTTTCTTTTATTATAATTGTGCTTAGATTAACTGTTTATTTGGAAAGAAGAGATAACGTACAGTGTATTTGTGATATGTTTGTGTGGTAATTGGTGTATGTATTTGGGATTATTGATTTAGAGAATAAGAATAAAAGAAAAAAAAAAAAACACAATAATCACATGTTGGGCAGAAAACGATTTTGAGCAACTTTTTTTCTGCAGACAAAAATCATCTGCCTTCAGTTAAGTTCTGATTCTTCTTCTAGTTTGACTTTTGCACACCCCAACAGTTTTCTAATTCAATTTCTCTGGTCACTTGCATCTAGAAAAAGAAAAAAGTAAAAAAAAAAAAAAAAAGAAAAAGCAAGTTTTGTGCATGAACTTACTCACCAAATTCATGATTTTTCTAATGCCCAGCCTCTCCAACCTCCGACACCTCCGAAGAAGAAACGACTAAGACTGTAACAAGGCGGAGAGGGCCTAAGAAGGAAAAACCCAAAACCATCGAGGCTGAACTCTCCAATCTCGACGAAAACCCGTTTTCTCCACCGTCTAACGAAGAGAACGAATGGGACCTAGAATTCAACATCGACGATGCAGAGGACATAAGCTTCACGTACGGGTGGCCACCCTTGGTCTGCTGTTTTGGGGCGGTCCAGAACGCGTTCGTGCCTGCGGGCCGGCGGGCCAACAGGCTCATCGACCATGAGATTCACGACTGGAAAAGGGACGTCCTGTGGGTGCCTGAGAAGTTCGTCCGAGCCTCGGGTGGGTGCTCAAGCAATGTGGCTGTGGCCCTCGCCAGCCTGGGAGGTAAGGTTGCATTCATGGGCAAGCTCGGGGACGATGCCTATGGCAAGTCCTTGCTTTATTTCTTGAATGAGAATAATGTGCAGACGAGGTCGGTGCGTATTGACAAGGATCGGGCAACGGCAGTTTCCCGTATGAGAATCAGGGAGAGAGGTGGTCTGAGGGTGGCAGGTGTGAGGCTGTGCGCGGAGGATTGTTTGGCTCAGTCGGAGATTAATATTGATGTGTTGAGAGAGGTAATATATCTTGGAAAAAACTTGTATTAAACCATCTGACCAATCAAAAATTATTATTATTTTTTTGTTGATCTTTTTGCAGTTGTTAGGATTCAGATATAAATTTTAGTTTCTCTAACTAAGCGTTTTTTAGGGCTTTTCAGTATGTTTGGTTTTTTAAGTCTCATGTGTCAGCCTTTTAGGTTGTTGTTTTATATTTTTAGTTTCAATATTTTCTATTTTTTGGCGCTTAAGATTATTATGAGTTTATAATTTAGTTTTGGAAGCCCGATCTGACATCAAATTGTGTGAAAGGAGTGTTTCATGTATCTTAGTAATGGTTCATTAAAACATATTCTTTTCTTACATCTGTTTGTCTGAAATTTGTTTTCAAAATAGGTCCTTTTTGAGTGTATTGAGGTGAGGAACAATGGCACTTGTTCGGCTTTATCGTATAAATATGTTTGGAACCATTTGTCCACATTGATGTGTTCTAAAATATTCATGTGCTTGAGTTGTTAGATTGTATATTTACTGAAACAAACAATTAATCCTTTCAAGGCAAAAATGTTCTACTTCAACTCATTCAGCCTCCTTGACCGAAACATGAGATCGACCACGTTACAAGCCATCAGGATTGCGAAAAAGCTTGGTAGTGTTGTCTTTTACGATCTCAACATCCCGTTGCCACTCTGGCAATCGTTTGAAGAAACGAAGGCATTCATACGGACTGCATGGGATTTGTCTGACATTATCGAAGTCACCAAACAAGAGTTTGAGTTTCTTTGTGGGATAACACCGTCCGAAAATTTTGACACGAAAGATAGTGATAAGTCCAAATTCGCTCATTATGCACCCGACATTGTGAAACAGCTATGGCACAAAGATCTCAAGGTTTTGTTTGTGACGAATGGAACTTCTAAGATACATTATTACACTGAGGAAAATGATGGTTTTGTGCATGGAATGGAGGATGCGCCTATCACACCTTATACATCCGACATGTCAGCATCTGGAGATGGTATTGTTGCAGGTAACTAAACCAATACCGAAATAGAACATTTTTTCAGTTTTATTAATTTCAAGAAATAATGACTCTTTCTGACGGTACTATTGCACAAGGGGATTCTATTTCTTCTTTGAACTTTGAAGTTGTTCTTGACCATTCTTTTTCCTTTTTTTCACCATGTGTCTGTGATTATGATTGCATGTCTCTTTTTCGAAGTCATATATAAAGTTGCATACAGAAAATTCAACACGACCAGGAATCTTATTAAATGTGTTTCCTTAGTTTCTTGGTCACTCTATCAGAGACTAGTGAAATTACCTAGTGACAGCTGATGGATGCTTATATATCTGTTCTTAGGAAAAGATTCTACGTCAAGAATGATTTAGAATGGGAGCAAGTTATACGTTGTCCAAATGATCTTGAATTTCTAAAATGTCTCGACAAAAAGTTTTGAATGCACGTATTTTCATTTTTAATCTTGACTGCAAAAAGGAAAAAAAAAATGATTTCTAACTTTGCTAGTTTAGTTTTTTTTGGATTATTTTGAAGTTTTTTAGTATATTTTATGGGGAAAATTATTTCAGTAACATGCAACTTATCGTACATAAATTTTATGTATTGCAAGCTCTGGCCGGAAAATGCTCAAAGAATTTAAGGAAATTGAACCAAAATTAACCCAAAAAAATAAATGGAAAACATGAAAAAAAAAAAAATGTACAAGAAAGTCCCAAAAGAAGGACAACGACAAGTGGAATTATTGGGGATTGTTTGCAAAATTGCCAGAGATGCAAGGAAAAGGCTTTTGTACATGATGGAAAGTGGAAGGTAGAGTTGTGGTTTTTTGTGAATAGGCAATAGGAGGTGCCGAAATCAGCTGCGCGCTTTACCGGTTACGATATATTTCACAAAAAGAAATAAAGAAAATTATGGTGCAAAAGCCAAAAACAGGTACTGTTCAACGGATAATTTTCCGTACTTGAAAAGTCCTTAAAGTTCTCAAGTAAATTTTAACCATTCTCTTTATTTTGTCAGTTGTGGGTGTAAGTAATTTTTCATGCCATTTGATTTGTTATGAATTCTTATTATTCTTTTGTGTACTGTTAATTTTTTCCTTTACATCTTTCCTTGATATTGTTTTTAGGTCTTCTGAGAATGCTGACTGTGCAGCCGCATCTCATTTCCGACAAGGAATACTTGGAAAGATCTATTGAGTATGCGATTAGTTGTGGAGTAATAGATCAATGGCTGCAGGCCCGAAGACTCGGATACCCAGCGAAAGAAGGTATGGAGGACGTCGAAGCCGATCCTCACGGCATAAAATCAATTACCGAACAGGAATACAGAACCTTAGTGCCTTCAAACTCATGAAGAGATTGAAGACAGTCATGCACAGATTCAATGTGTTGTTGTGAGACGTGTAAAAAAACTGCGGTGGGGCCCAAAGTTGTCGTGAAATTCGGATGCAACAGCCCTTATGGTAATGAACATTTATCATATGAAATTGTAGACTAGTGAGGAGCATTCTAGTTATCCTTGAGTCTGCTTGTGAAGACCCGAGCTTCGAATTATCTTTCTGTCATCTTATCTTATGCTCGAAGATTTTGTGTACCTTGTAAGTTGTCTTAAGAATCCTTTCCCAGTTATTAGACGTTCTAATGTTTTTGTAGTGCAAGTGTGTAACCCGGTACCTAATTTTGGATTACTGAAGAATGGAATGGTCCATTGAGTGGAAAATTTTGTGGTTTGAATTTTTATGCATGATTTATAAGTACGTTTTGCTCATAACTTAACACTTGCGCTGAATAAATACATGGATTATAAGAACTTCTTTTTCCTTTTGGGTTTATAGAATTTCATATTTTGCAAATGACCGATTCAGAGCCCAAACTTGAGAGGTTTTATGAAGGTTTTTGCGGGATCTTTCTGGCCTTGGTTTTTGTTTTGTTCAGTTGTGTTTTTCAGGTTCCAGCTTGGTGGATAAGCTTCAGGTGGAGTTCGATTTGACTGGGGCTTCATGTGCTGATGGATTGGTTGAGGATTTGGGAAGCCGACTTCGTAAAATTGCGCTTTCAGAGGCAGAAAATCGGATTTCAGATTTGAAAGAAGACAATATCAAGATTAGTAAGGTCGAGTGCGATAGAACTCTGTTTGGAAAAGTTGTAGGTGACAGGAGAGCCTGTTCAATTGGAATAAGGAGGGCCATGGGAAGCATATATGGCAGCTTCAGAGCCAATTTGAACAGGAGAAGTCGAGGGCGAATTTGGCGGAGAGCTCCCCGGAGACACGCCACGACCCACAGAGGCAACCTCTGAAGCTGAGGTCGCACATGAATCTAAATGAAAGAGCAACAAAGAAAAAATAAAAGATTTAGGTTTGGAAGAGGGGTTTCGAGGAGGGTTTTACGAGAACACTAGAACTGAAAGGACAAAAACAAAACGAACTAAAATCAAAACGAAAGTACAAAAAAAAATAGACATAAACAAGAAGGAAAACTTACTCAGTGAGGACATGGTATGTAAATTCTAAAAGCTTAAACTCTTGAAAGGCGGAGCACGGCGGCTTGGGAGCACAAATTAGCAGGAATAAAATGCGAGCAATAGAACACAATAATCGCAGAGGTGGAAAACAGATAAAAGGTGCAGAGGAAGGCTATTTATAAAAGACTTAGAAGAATCGAGAAGGTCGAACGTTTTGGGTCGTCCGATGAGGCACCGATCAAGGGATGGGAATCAAGAAGAAAGGCGAAAGGACATGCATTGATTGCCAAACCTGAACAAACACGGTATACGAGAGGGCAACAATCAAGGCAGTGGCTTTTAAGGGACGCAATGGGCCACGTTTGAAACTAAGGTTTGAATTTTGAAATTCAAACAAAGGCGGGATATAAAGTGGTCAAATATAAAATAAAGGCCAGAAAACCAAGGAGCGACCAAGCTCAGACTTAATGGCGAAGGGAAGCTCGAATATCGTAATAGTGGTGAAAAGTCGAAAGGCTAAGGAAGTAGGTCGAAATAGAACACTCTTGGACCGGGCCTCATTAGCTTGATCTTGAGTGGGAGGGGGGACTACATGATACATGATATAGTACCGATTCGAACACCCCAAAGGAACCAAACAACCAAGTTGGGTTAATGAAGCAACCCGATTCACTTCGACCCGGAGAACAATAGTCATACTAACCTTCGACCTGATCTTGAAAGACTATGAGGTCGATTCGCCACGTTCTATTTAACAAATGTAGACTGAAGAGGGCCACAACCTATTAGAATGGGAATTCGACCTGGGGGCTTGGACTGGGCCTTACGGGAGGATAAAGGAGTTTTATCTGAGAAACTGCGCTATATGGGGATTGGACCATGTGTTGCAATTACATTGGGTGTCTGTACCCCTGACACCTAATTACTGAGGCGGCGTAGATGTTGCAGGTCGTACGTACGACCTTGTTTTTGCGGGATCTTTCTGGCCTTGGTTTTTGTTTTGTTCAGCTGTGTTTTTCAGGTCCCAACTTGGTGGATAAGCTTCAGATGGAGTTCGATTTGACTTGGGCTTCATGTGCTGATGGATTGGTTGAGGATTTGGGAAGCCGACTTCGTAAAATTGCACTTTCAGGCAGAAAATCGAATTTTAGATTTGAAAGAAGACAATATCAGAATTAGTGAGGACGAGTGAAATAGAACTCTGTTTGGAAAAGTTGTAGGTGACAGGAGAGCCAGTTCAATTGGAATAAGGAGGACCATGGAAAGCATATGGCAGTTTTAGAGCCAATTTGAAAAGGAGAAGTCGAGGTTGAATTAGGCGGAGAGCTCCCCGAAGACACGCCACGACCCATAGAGACAGCCTCAGAAGCTGAGGTAGCATATGCCTGAATTTCTTTTTCTTTTTTGATGGCCTCTATTTGGCACTGTCTTACTGTTTCCTTCAACTGCTTTATTTCGTCTTCAAGGTGATTCCTTTTCTCCATTAGAATTACCGCAAATGACTCCATTCTCGTGTAAGAGTATTTGTAAATAAATTTCTTTTCCTGGGATATACACAAATATATAATCAAATTATTGTGCTTTTAGACTCCATCTAAGTTTTACCTTTATTGTAGGATTCATTCAATTGATATTTCGTAAAATAATTAGTGTATAGGCTATCGGTTTGAAAGAGGAATTTTACTGGTTGTAAGTCGAGTTTAAATTTTTCAAGTGCATTTATAAAGTGTAACACCCCACTTTAATTTTAAAGAAATTCCGGACTTTCCAAAAACCAGTATAAAATTTTTTGAATTTATTTTCGAAAACATGGGCGTTATACAACATTTAACATCAACCAAGTCGTATCTGGTTGTTCACATGGTTTTCATTAACCTTTTAAAATTCAATTACACATGATTATTAGCTAAACCACCTAGCATGCATAATCGAAAACACATGATATTCAATAAATAACTCTCATATGAATATCAAACAAAGGATCCAAAAATCCCGACACGGACAAGTTTGAAAATAGTTCAACACGTCTCAAAGGACCACACTTTATTCATAATAGAAGCGAAATCATAAACATATAAATCATGACCAACTCACTCGTCTTTCCCCCGTCATCCGGCACCAGCTTAACCTGCATCCGTGAAGAGCAGGTGGGAGTGAGCACAAGATGAAAGTGGTGCTCACTACTATGCACATAAATAACACATGTCAAATGGTATGGTCGCAGCATGAATATAAGATAATCACATCATGTCTCATCTCCTATCAAAATCACAACAACCACATTACTCATGTGCATCTATCGCTAGACGCAGAACGAGGATTCATTACCCGAAGGCGGGAGTATATGCCATGCTACGGACACGACCTTCCATATGGGCTTACGTACCTCGCAAGGGCACGACCATATCAGGACTTAAGGAGACTTGCCTCACAAGGGCAACCGTATTACATCGACGGGGACAA